GTGATTGTTATTATATGCCTTTACTTTGCAAAGTCCTTGTGGTTGTTATTATGCTTTTAATTTGCAAAGTCCTTGTGATTATCATTATGCCCTTTATTTGCTTTCGGCTGCCTAAAAGCAAACCAAAATTTTCAAGTACACCTAGTAGTAGCTACGGGGAAGGATAGACACGCTAATATATAATCGGGGCCATATAGTTAATCAGTTCCTAGTACGTACGGCTAAGGTAGATTTAATCGTGGCGAGGACACCAATAAACACCACGTTGGTCCGTCCGTACCGTAAGATGCATGCATGATGATCGATGCCCTATCATGAGCTAGTGAAGTACTCCTACTTAATTTAGCCAATGCAATGAACAACCTTGCTCAAGGACAGACATGCATCATGATGACTACGGATGGAAATTATTTGAACTTGATAGCAATTCTGGTTCGTATTTATTGCTTTCTCCCACTGTTCAAAAAATCTTCTGATTCAGTGATTTATCGTTTGATTTATCGCTACTCTTGGGGTGACCGATAAGATTATGCCTTATCTTCAGCGTTCATCGTTTGGGCTGAATATCACTATGAAAAGTGATAATCTACCGATAAATCGGGCCTATTTATAGCACTATGTTTGCAAAAAACTATGTTTATTTGTGTTTTGTGGACCTTGTTACGCTATATGTATTGTTGTCCTATTTTGTTTGCCATTATACAAGGGTTCAAAGGTTAGGAATCAAGGTAACACTTCTATCCAATATTATTTTAGTGTTGAATATAGCTTATTTTAGTGTTGGAAACCTGAGATTTACAAAAAAAATGGCCGATTAATAGTCAACCGATAAAATCGATTAATCGGCCGATTTCCGATTAATCCCTAATCCCAACTAATCGAGATGCTAATGATAAGCGATATCCTCAACATTGCTTTCTCCATTTCAAAATAATTCTCGTAGTTAACTAAAACCACGACACTTATTTTGAAATGGAGGGAGCAATAATTAATTTTACAAGCAAAGTCAGACTCCACGCGTAGAACTCAAGACAAAATCAATTGAATTTGTGTGGTTTTTGAGCCTATGCAAAAATAGCAACAAGAGAAAATGTTAATTTTTTTGCGGGAAAACTTTTGATCTATTCATATTCAATCATTGCAGTACAACGAACACTAGAAATAATAAAAATTACAATCAGATCCGCAGACCACCTAGCGACGAGAACAAGTACTGAAGCGAGCTGAAAACACGCCGCCGTCATCGCCTCTCCATCGTCGGAGTCGGGCATAACTTGTTGTAGTAGACAGTCGAGAAGTCGTCGTGCTAAGGCCCCGTAGGACCAGTGCACCAGAATAGCAACCGCCGCTGAAGAAGAAGAATAATGTAGATCGAAAGGATCCAATCCGAAGACACACAAATATAGATGAACAACGAAGAGCTCCGAGCAACTCCACCAAAGATAGATTTGCCGGAGAGATACCTCCACACGCCCATCAACGATGCTAGACGCACCACTGGAATAGGGGCTAGACGGGGAGACCTTTATTCCATCTTCAGGGAGCCGCCACCGTCTCCCCTTCCTGAGTAGGACACAAACCGTAACAAAACTGGAAGAAACGGCTAAAAACGGAGCCCTCCCGCCGGCCCTTGCCAGGATCCACCACGCCGCCATGGCCCTAGGGCCACCGGGAAAGAGGCGGACCTGCGGCGGGGCCGACGAGAGGCGGAAACCTAGCTTTTGTTGGAGACGGACACTTTTCATAAAAGCATAACTTTAATGAGAAAATGTTAAATTAACCGTTTCAAAATAAATGTCATGGTTAACTAAAACCACAAACACTTATTTTGAAACGAAGGAAACAAGAATTAATTCCACAGGCAAAGCCAGAGTCCCGCATACACACCAATATGTGGGGAGCTGAACTTGTGTGGTTTTTGAGCCTATGCAAAAATAGCGACAAGATAAAAAAAAAAGGTTAAATTAAGCCGCCTATGCAACTGGAAACAACTAGGAGCATCCTTCATGGTCCAGCCGGATATGCTCCTGGATAAATTAGCCTAGGAAATGGAGATGCCCGGATCTCCATGACAAGCGATCGATCGGGACCGGTAGCACGGGCAGCAGTTGATTAATGGGCAGAAAGGGAAGAGAGATCAAGATGAACGAACATCATTAGTTTTGTAAGAAGCGCAGTCGTGGTCCTGCGTGACTCTGGTTTGCGTGATCCGTTGGTGATCGACATTACTTGGGCAATAATTTCTCCCTGCACGTTTTGTGTGCACGCGTCCCATTATCCTGGCCGATCCGATCCAATCCTGACAGGTTGTTGTTTAACACGATCACAAGATTTGTAGTCAGGGTTGTTTCTTCTCCATCTTGACACTGAAAAACCACCAAGAGAAATAATGCATCTTTATTTTTTTGAAATAGTTACCATGGTGGAAAGACTCCCCAGTCAGCAGATGTTACAGGGTTCACAAATGATGTGAGTAGAGGAACTCACGCCACAAGCCAGCGTGGCCCTTTAAGGTATCAGACTTAAAGCCGATGAGACCAAATAACCAAATCATCCATGATAGCTCTAACAGAAACACAAGCATCAATATCAAACCCTTGGAAAACTTTCTTGTTTCTGGCATCCCAAATTTTCCAAAGGATGAGAAGAAACATGAAGGGACGGACCAAAGTGGGCAGCTGCGCAGGAAGGGAAACGTTGAAGAGCTCGCTAATGGGCGCGGCGATAGGCCGAATGCCCGTTGCACTCAATGCATCTTTTTTTAACACAGTACAATTGTACATATTCACATACACGCACGTACGCTTCCCCTCTATGGACGCATGCATGCATGTCCTACCTGATGAAGCTATGTACCTAGGGTAGGGTCATGGATCTGTCCAACATACCCTCCCCAAGGACATCTCTACAAAGAATCAGAAGTAGTCGAAGAGAAACCATCATCCACTCGACCATGAAGATGTGTTCTCTCGACCACCTTGAAGACACTCGACCACCAGAAGATGAGAAACCCTTCACTCTGCAACGGTCGGGTGTTTAAACGATAGCTTTATGGACATTTATAGCACTTTACTTCGGATGTTACCAGTAACGCTCCTCCTTTATGAACATTGAACCCTGTGTAATGGAGGAGGGCTGGGGTCCTGGCGCACTCTATATAAGCCACCCCCTCCTCTGGGACAAGAGTTCGCATCTCTTGTAAACTCACATACACATATGATCCAGTCGACCGCCTCAGGGCACCGAGACGTAGGGCTGTTACTTCCTCCGAGAAGGGCCTGAACTCGTAAAACTCGTGTGTACAACTACTCCATAGCTAGGATCTTGCCTCCTATACCTACCCCCCATTCTACTGTCAGTCTTAGATCCACGACACTACCCCTATGAGCACCTCCAAGATACTGAGTCGACACACCATCTCGAGAATGGCATAGTCACCACATACACCTCATAGTAGATGAAAACGTTTCGTCGCACTGGACAAACATCACCAAAAAGCCTAAAATAAAATCCAGAAAAATACGAGCACGAACATCAAGTTCAGGACTTGAACCCTCGTGGGTTGGTTCCACCACAAGTAACCTAGCCATTTATTCTACGCTTATCTCACATGATGTGGCACATATAGATGCATGTGCTCATGCACAAATCTTGGCACCCGTACGCCATGCACCAAAACCCCAGGTTTGTGAAGCTTCAAACCCGAGGAGGCCAACATACAACGCCTCGACACCGATGAGAGCATCGCCTCAAGGTGACACACGTGACGTCAAACATGAGATTTAATCTCCATCGTGCATCCTTATTGTCGCGACTAGTTCTTGATATTGTGTCATTGCAGATGTAGAGGCCGGGGTGTACCTAGCATCATCTTAATTATTATTTTTGCAGGGACATCACCTTGATATTGATGTACTCCCTCTATCCCAAATTAGTTGTGTGATAAGTATTTATCTAGATACGGATGTATGCAGACACGTTTTAGTGTGAGATACATCCGCATCTGGATAAATCTAAGACAACTAATCTAAGACGATGGTAATAATTCCGCTTCGCGAGGGGGAAAAGTTGTACCACAAGGCACAAACGTTTTCGACATGTTTGAAATCGATTTCAGGTCTTTGTTGGTAAGCCGGGTTTGCAATTCACGTGGAGCAGCAGCAGCAGCCTGTCTTGCGTGGCACGAAAACGGAAGGATCGGGAGGATGAGTGTCCTCTTGCTTCTACCACTTCTACTCCCTCCGTTCGAAATTACTTGTCTCAGAAATGGATGTATCTAGAACTAAAATACATTTAGATACATCCATTTCTACGACAAGTAATTCCGAACGGAGGAGTACCTGTCTTGCGCGCCAAGAAATTAAGGGAAGCACCGGGCGCTCACATGCGGAGCATCGTCAGAGCAGATCCGCTCCAATCAGCGGCTCACACACCCCCAACTAATCATGACCCCCATTAATCAACCAAACACGCTGCCCAACCTGTTAACCACAACGAAGACCAAAATTGATACCGCCCCTAACCGTCAAGGCGGACCAGCACGAGCCAACCGCCCCCGCTGGCGTCTCATCGGGCCGTCCAACCCCCGCTCCACTCGCATCCGACGGCCGGTGGGGGGCGGATTCGAAACCGCCAGCGCCAGCCAGCCGCTTCCCGCCCCGGCCGCCGGGGCCCACGCGTCAGAGCGCCCGCCCACCCCCACCCACCTACCGGTCCGCGGCGGGCGGCGGCCCCTATAAACATCGACGCGGCCGCCGCGTTGGCCCCTCCCCCCCAATTCCCCACCCCCATTCCCCACCTTCCTCCGCCAGATTTCGCCCGCCGGGCGCGAGGAGGAG